ATATATAAGGATAATTCGAGTTGAGATGAAATCTGTTTTTAAAATAAAACTAAGGTTCATTTTCAAAACGTTATTTTTCGAGATTGCATTACTGTGCTATGTAGGCTGCAAACCTGGAAAATAAATGACAACACTTTTCGCCTATTCGAAGCTGACGTTTACCTGAATTTTACAAATTTATGTTTGAACGAAGAAAATACTTCGTTTGCGCATTACGCAATTTTTCATTATTAATGTAGCTTTTTTTTGTTTTTTTTTTTTTAAATATCAAACGCGTGACAAAGGCACAATTTGGATGACTAATGAATCGCTCAAGATCACATATTTAGCGCGTAAATCGTATGCAAATTAGTATCATTTTGTAAGTCTTTTATACGACTAAAGAGTTATTATTGCTCGGAGATTGGCGCGATAACTATATTTAGTTGTTATACAGTGATAAATCGATCACGATACAATGGATATTAGAAACAATACAATATTACTTCTGGTAGAAGGTCTTCTTGGAAGTGGAAACAGGTAGAACTGCTTGTAGCTCTGATCTGTGGCATGGGTCGCAAATGATTTAGCTATACGTATCTCATCTGTTGATAAACGTGTTACTTGAAGATTCAGTGTTCATAGATATTCATATTAGACGAAGACACGCGATATACGGTCAAGTATTCCGATTCAAAGAGCATCGACAAGGCATTGCACGGGGAATAGAACAAACCCCGTACGTATTTTTGCCTAAATAAGGTCGACTCGTTAAATCGCTAGTCCAGCTTCGAGACACCAGCTATATGCGTATTGCCAATTTTCAACGATATCGCCTAATCCGATTCTTAGAAGTTTGCTGTTCGGGTACCTTCCAAACGACATAAACATGTACTAATACTGAAACAAAATCGAGTCTTAACAGAACCCTAAAGAAATCAAAACTACTAAAGTGATTTAGACGTTAGACCTCCGGATGCTGTTCATTCAGACGCATTTGAAAACGACATGTTCAATGATGTATACGATACGATGGCAGTGCGGAATATGAGGTTGGATATGCAATGGATCCGCCTATTCTAATTCTCTCCTTAACTACCAATTATAACAGCATCATTACTAGGTTACTAGGTATTATTTCATAGGCATAATTTCACATCCTAAAGGTTTGTCCTAGATTTGTGTACACTGCCCTTATGTTCGTCTTTCGGCATTGTTCGTCCAATGAAGCTTGTGACTCGCTCAGGGTAACGGCCGGATTTTATTGCGTAAGCTTCCCTCTGATATTTGCTTATAAATTGATTCTGTAACATGCACACTCGGTGTAGAATACACGTTACATACTGTCACGTTAGGTCGATGTTCAGATAATTGTCGAGGCCCTCCTGTACATAATATTACTTTTGCTGCCGTCGGTGACTTTGCTGCTGGATTCCTTAAGGTAGCCGTTTGGATGGTAGGCCTTTCTTCCTATCGCTGTTTTCTTGATGCGAAGGTGGAGTCGGCCATCAAGACCCGACGTCTGTGCCTGGACTCCAGGTCCAGTACGCGCACATTGCATTATCCGATTGTCAGTGCGCAGTGAGAGCGCTGGATAGGACGACCGCAGCACACGGGCTGCAGTATCGGTGTCAATCTAGCACAAGCTGGTTGACGATCCGCTTCAGACAAATCAACGTGAACTGACTAAAACATGCATCTCGACCTAGGAGTGAGTCCTAAAACAGAATCCTCGCCTGGTGTGTTTACTGTTTTCATATTTGAAGTGAGTCAAAAAGAAATTATATTCGTACTTGTGTTGTTCTTGTCTACTGCTTTGTAGTGATGGGCGCTGGAGGCTTTTCAGGCGCATGAATTTTTACGATCCGAGATTAGCCTTTTTTAAGCTTCGACGTTACTAGCAGCAGAAACAGCTTGAAACTGACTGTTTGTCAATCTCGGCTTTGCAAGCTTTAAAATCTCAACGCCTTAATATTTTCATCTGTTTTTCGTATTGGTGCCTATTTTATGTCACTGATCATTTAGGACACTTACTCGTCGTACTTCGGGAGATACCTGTCTACCTAGAGATACCTGATTATATAGCTAATGCGTTTTGAATGAGTTCTAAACGCGCCGTCCGTCGATGGGCAGGCTCAGAATGGGTAGAGCGCTAATACAAGAGTGCACTCGATTTTGGCAGTTTTTTTTTTTTAGCAAATGGTAGCGGTAGCAGTAACAGTATCTGCAGTAAATGTGTATTAACCAATAGCTAATATATGTCGACTGTGGAAAGGTTAGTTCCAGCCACGTCCGTTTGTTCACAGTTCTTCAGAGCACAGCAGCTGAGCTTAAACCCAGGCTACTAGGGTGGTCGTTGTCTTGATAGTTTAACACGGCAAGCTTGACGTTTCCATGCTTTCAATATAAAAAAAGATCTTCTTTCATTCTAGCAAGCAGATCTAATGGGTTAGGATCCATACATGATTACTGTTGAACGTGCGCTTATCTGTGTAACCGAATATAGCCTTGAAAGATCGATTCTTATCAGCATTGCGTTCAAGCAAGACTGTGCTCGAACATTATAGCCAAGATCTTTTTGTTTCGCTTAGAAGTTGTCTCGACTGACTCGGATGAATCGTCGATGGTATAAATCTTTTCTCTACTGCCGCGTAGAACATGTCGTTAATGGGGCTTGAGCCATGGAATCAAGTACAGTAAATCAGGAACTTCGCTTCGTGCATCATAAAGCTGGTGTATCTTTATTATGCTATTTTGTATCGGTTTTTACGATAATTACACAACAGCTAATTACAATTATTCGAATGGGCCATATTTCGTAACTTTTCCACGATCCTTTGAGAAGGCTCTTCTACTCAGGAAATTTTTTTCTATCTCTCATTTGTGTCCGTCCTATAGAAAGGATAAGTGTATACATATATATACATGCGTGTGCATGTGTCCTTATATAGGCGTACTATCCGTACTATCCAAGAACTTTTACCAAAAGTAAAACCTAGCTTTGCAGTGCTTTCGATGATACTACATCCACGTTACGATTTACTAACAGATTTTCAACCGAACCGATGACAGCTTGAGATATGTCATCGTAATGAAACGGATAAAGCGGGAATACGGAGTTGTACGACGAAAACAGCACCAGTGGCGGCAGAAAAGTGATGGGATGATTCGTTCTTTCTTTTTGTCAAGATGAAAAATCTATCCATGAGATACGCCAGCCGCTGGCCGTCCGCGCGGGACGACAAAGGCAAAAGCACGAAGAGTACCTCAAGAATATTTTTGTTGTTCATGGTATTGCGATTGCCGTCGTTACCACAGCTGCTGCCACGGCGACTGCTTACACGCGAGCTTACTACAATGAGGCTGGACGGGGAGAGAAGGGTCATTTGTTGGCGACATATGTACTTCTACGAATCGATATGTATATGCGTGAGAACGTTGTTTACCCTACGACTTCTTTTATATAAACCTATACAGATTTAGTGGACAATAGGGAGTCTGACGTGTCACTAATCTTCCACCCCTATACGCACCGCACTGCCTGGCGAGGGAAGCAATCGTCTCTGGATCCGTTGGGCCAACAGTTGTCGTCGCCCGTCGTGGGCTGAGCAAGTGCCAACTCTTCTGACTGAAGTATTAAGGCCTGCCTGGCTGGCTGTCTGCCTGCCTGCCTGCCGTTCTATGTGAGAAAAGAAACTCGGTCAAAATGCAACGGATAATACTGAGGCTCTTTTAACTGTCAAAACGGATTTATTAGATGCAATTTTTAGTGTAACTAATAAGGACGATGTGCAAGGCCAATAAAAAAAGAACAACCGGATCATAGTTTGCTCTGATACTAACATTTAAAATTGTTTATTATGACTAAAATGTAGAATATAATATTGGTATAATCGACTCATTGAAGCGCTACGTACTTGAAGAATTACTCTATGAAGTCCGGATAACGGCTTGCTAGTGATGAAAAATAGCATTCTTTCAAATAGATGGTTACGTAGTATGAATATGGGATTATGTAGTAAAAATTAGAAATGCATTTAAGACCGTACGTTAGAAATGTATTATTCTATCTACAAGTTACACGAGTTCGTAAACCGAATCTTAACTAATTATAGTAAGCATCTGTCGTTTAAAGGTTCGTTTCACCGTCAGAAATATGTTAACTAACCTGATAATTTATATTATTACGTTAAGCATTTGTCATAAGATAATCTAAATATCTACAGCATGGTCAAACTGTGTCGATCTTTTGGCGACCCTCGTCTATAAATCACATGAAACCCACAAAACCTCTCAAGTCAAGCGACACCTGGTTGAAAAGAATCAACTATTGCTGATTTAGCTGCCAGTCACGGAAAATTGTCCCATCTGCCTGAATTACATCAACTACAAGTACCAGCTCTTCCTAATGTTATAAGCGAGAGCCGAACCTCAAAAATCCCATTACCTAGACACGTACATACGTGGTTGACTTTTTTCGCCAAATCATATTATAGTATAGGGAGAAATTTTGTTTTTGTGTCTTGTCTAGTCTCCGAGTCATGAGCCTATTTCAGTCGAATTACAGTTTTTGGAGACAACAAACGAGATTTAGACAATGTATGTACGTGGTCTCCCTCAGACGTGCGTGTATATACGCATTTAGAGCTCTTGTGCGGTCGATTTTTAGCCGGTGTGAACAGAGAGATATTACATGGACAGACGGCTTCTCATAGGAAATATACGGCCGTAAATTTCCGATGACGCGAACGTTATTCTGTTTGCTAGAAAAGTACTGAAGAAAATTCGTGATGACGAAGACGGGACGAACCGAAACACACTGGTGAGCATGTGGCACGATAAAGTCACATGAGAGAGTTTTACGACATCGTATATCACTTGGTTGGTTCGTATCTCCATTAATAGTTCGCCTAATTTGCCTACGCATCGACAATGGAGGGAGGCATTTCCCTATCCTTTTGTCGAGTTATGCGCAGCTCGAAGTGGCAGCTCTTGTATGAATAAAGTACAACGATTTGACCCTTCGCTATATTTAAGGATTATGCCACAAACACCTAGTCATAGAAATATAAGTAACTCATTCATTTGTAACTTATTATCGTAAAGTCTCAAAACTAATAGTACGTACCTTATCCGATGAATCTTTAGCATTCGATACGCTCACTTTTTATATCATCATCAAAACTGAGCCAACTGCAAGACGATAGCTGAACACTGAATTTGATTGTAGCCAATCATTATCTGCTAGGGCGGGCATAAATGGACATCATAAACGCCTTGAAGGAAAGATTTATCCTCCACTTGTGTTTTTGCCATTGATAAACAATTCGTACCAAGTTCATCGAAGATTAAGGATTCTTTACGATAAAAAAATATCTTGTGATCTCTATGATGAGAAGGGCGAAGTATAAGACGGAAGAATGAAGTAAACTTTCATTTGCTATCCCCATTGTTGACTGTGCATTTTCAAGCGCATCATCACCGTCGCTGCCGTACATCGCTAGTGCCGCCAACTTTAAACTGAAAATCGACATCTAAGCTGTGACCTTTTTATTTTTCTACCTATTGCCTAATCGTCTTTCCTTTTTTTTTGTTTTATTCCCCTAATTGATACTTCGCTTAAAAGAAGATAGCTACGCCGTTGGTGATTTGCTTTCCCCCTTCCATTCATCCGTAGTCTTGTCCCTCCTTAGACGGACCTTACTGCTTACCCCTAATCGTTATAGCCTAGACCATTTCATAGCCCCTTCCTTTTTTGTCTTACGAAGAAATATAAGATATTTATTTCTGATAAGTCGTATAACAATTAGTTAGTCATAATGGCACCCTGCTAAGCCCCCACCGACAGCTAGAAAGAGGAAGATAAGCGAATGCTTAGCGTTGCTAAAGAGAACGGGTCCCACGATCTCAACCGCTTTAGGTGCTCACCGATGTGTTCCAGCAGACGTAACCGCAAATCGAAAGTTTCTGAAAGGAACATCTTGCCTGCAACCTCCTGAACGATGGGCAGGTTATTATACTTGCGCTTTCATTCTCTAATTCAAACCATTTCTTATGAAGAAGAAGCAGCTTAAATTGTTATATTTTGAATAAGGTAAATAAGAAAAATTTTAGTGCAGATCTTTCAAATTTTCGGGTAAAAATTACAACACGATTTTCCGTGCCCTGTTTTTTTTGATACGTTAGCATTCTTGGCTATCCTCTTCATGTGAACTAGGTCTCGGAATCATCTCTTTTAGGTATAGTATCGAGGACTCGCCTTCGTTAGGAGTCTAACCTGGGTGGGTCGTGGTGGACATATTTGGGGCTTGTCCGGCAGGTTTAAGAAACGGCGTAGCAACCATACAAGCAGATGTTCTCTTAATAATGATATATTTTTTACCTTCTTTTCTTCGAATTCTTAACTTGTCCTTAATTTTTGATTTTCTTGACTCCTATTATCCAATAATTATTATTGTTTCTGTGGCAGCGTGGTTCTTAGTTATAGCCATGATGGCAACGCACTCAAAGAGATACGTATTGGCTACTTGGGCCATGCCGCCCAGTGTCTACTGCATATATATATATATAAGCAATACGGCACTTAAATTAGGACGAACATTGGCAGGCTGTTTGTAGCAGCGGCCGTGCGTTCATCTGTTACTGCTGAAGGCAAAGGAAGGTTAGTCGTATCTAGAACAAAAGAACAAAGTCGTCATGACAAAAAATGGTGCGCCATTTTCGGAATTCGAGCACAGATCAACTATTAATCGATCTTCTCGTGGTGGGCAAGATTTCAGCGGAGCTCAAGATCTTGCCCGAAATCGATGGTCTACGTTATTACAAGTTTTCATGCGGCTCCTAAAAAAATCCGCAGAATACTTTTGTGAGACAAACTGGAAGATCTTTATTAGGGCTTAAATTCATAGGGCTCAAAATAGTTTGAAAAGGACTCGAAAAATAATTTTTGATACACCCGGATTGTTTATACAGAAATCAGCCTTGGCTCTTGTTGAAGAGAAGAATATCAATTACCAATTGGGTCGTCCAGATAAGCTACAGTGGTCAATCTTCCTAAGATTTTTTACGCTTTGCCGCACTCTTTGAACTTAAACGTGTTTGGAATTTCCGTCTGCTATCGGCCCAAAATTTAATTTTGCTAAAGTTTTTATATGGAACGTACTTAAGCGACATTTTTAATTATACATATATATACGTAATTAAAAAAGTAGCTTAGATTATATTTAGAGTATGCCGTAAATTTACTAGCGAAAGCAAACGCTACATGCTTCAGCGAACCAAGCGCAGTTAAAATAGTTGGGAGCAGAAGTTCTATTATTCTCGTCGCTAACCGCATAATTTATTTTCTCAGCGAATTTCCAGCTGGCCATCTTTTTGCAAAAATTTAATAGTCGCACTGAATAAGACTTAACGTTTAGCAGAGAGCCCAATGCTTTTTCAAACTCAGACAAGCCAACAAATGAATTTATGACAACGTAGCATTTGAAATAGACTTTTCTTGTAACGCTTCCCCTACGGGTAGCATCTTAGCCACATATCCTTTTCCTAATGAGCTGTTAAAATAGAGCCATATGACACACGGGTCAGCGTCCGCGGCCGGGGACGCCTTTAAGCCTCTTCTTCGAGAACGACTGGCCTCAACAGCCGTAGGCCTACTTACACAATGCGTTTAACAGAGTGTAACGCGCACAGCGCTCTCTAGACCAGCGACGTCACTTCGCGACCGGCTGCTTTGTAAAAATAAAGCAAAGACTTAGATCAGGTATGTTTTCTTGACGAATGCAGCACCTAAGCGCCGGTCGACGGATCTTCGTTCTGGGCCCCGTGTTACTCTGTCAAGTCCTCTTTGGATTGCCGCGTCGGACGTGGTGTCCTTTGAAAGAAGAGACTCGGCATCTATGCATTGCTGCACGGGCCTGCTTTTTTTTGGCTTCATTTTAAATTCATTGTATAATCAGTACTATGTTTCACTATAATATTAGTCATGGCCTACTTGATATTTATTGATTGAATGGATTCATGCCTACGTAATTGTTTGATCTCTCTGTGAGCGGCATACATCTTCAGATTGGCACCAAATAGAATATGCACGTTTTCGTTGCTTATTGACGTTAGTGCAGGTGAAAACTGCACGAGTCCGCTGACTTTGGTATGATGCAGGTAAAAAAAACGTGTTGCCATCCTGCGCATCGGGTTAACGTCGAGCGCGTTCTTCGCATTGTAACAGACAATTCCGGACCGAATCGATGTTGCGGCGGCATCATCGCGCAGACGCTTTACGTTTGCAATAAGAAAAACGTGGCGCAGCGCTGCGGTGCTAGCTGTTCCTGCTGAAAGCTACCGCGCTGAGCCCCATCCGGCAGGCAGATAGACAGGTGAATTCTGTGACTCGCTTTGAAGTTCTTTTGAAGGATTCGGTAGTGTTTATTCACTATTACGATAGTGGCGTATGCTAATGGATATAATCGTCTAACATCGTAGACTACTGAATCGTGAATGAATTTGGCTTTCGCCGCTCCTGTCGCACTTACGTGTGCCTTACGTATGGCCTTAAACAGGGCAACCCTTTACGGCATTAGACTTATTCTTTTGGCTTACCGCATGGCATGTCGCTTTTTCCATCTGTAAACTATGCGTTCGTTATTTGTCTTGCGGATGCGGCCTTTTTCTATAACAGGATCTTAGGTTTCGCTCCAGAACTGCCTTTTTCACTGACAGCTTTGCTTTGGACCGAGCACCCTCTCCCATCGACCTGCCTTTCCTATATTTCCCTTGCCCTTGCATCTTCGCGTGAACTCCTGCTCGTCGGATTTGGTAGCAACCAGTTAGTTCTGTATAATAGTTTAAGGTTTCGGTGCTGCTTCGGGATGCGCTTCTCTTCACACGCACGAAGAAGATTAAGGAAACGATTTTGGTGTGGTAGTCATTTTGACAACGTGAAATTTCTATTCGACATTCACTACCGTAATAAAGTCGGTGCCATGGCAATTTATGTCTCTAGCGGTAGCGAGTAACACGAGATATGGTCGGGCATACGGTACATATCTGAACTAAATACATTAGCGTGTATAATGTTAATGTGAATGTGTTTGCTTCACTTATAAATGTGCGTATATGGATGGAGAATAGTAATCGAAGCTGACATTTAAGGGATATGCATTCGTCAGTATGCAAAATACGCTCGAAAAAGGCTCTTCTTGAAGGCTGATAAGCTTCCATGCCAAGGTAATCTAAACTCTTTAACAAATACATTTATTTACATGTCATAGCCGTTGAGCGAAAGATTTTTTTTTGATAAACATCAAGTTACGATGTATATAGATATATACCACCTCAGACCTGTTATTAATCTACTATTAACAGTATGTAAAAATCTATAATGTTCGTTCGAAACAAGGCGAACTTTTTACTTTACCTTATTCATTCCTTATGTACTAGAGCAAATCTAGCAAGTCGTATAATCTGACATGCTTCCAAGACATGTGCTTCACCTAGATAGGTGTTTCGTCCGTCAAATTTACAACGAGAAATGTCTTCGCCTCACGCGAGTCTCGATTTAGAAGACCCTAAAAAGAGGACGAAAACAGTTCGTCATCAGGTATCCCGTGATGTGAAAGAGCTCATATTTTCGTTGTACCACGTGTGTGGTTTCATACAGACCTCATAACACAGTCCCAGTACTTTTTTGTCGTAGTACGTCCATGAGGAGTTCCGCGTCAAGCACGCTAAAAATCTTCCAACGAGAGTGAGTGAACACAGCGTTTTAGCGGCTACCTCCTTTTAAAAAAACTATCGTATATGTTGCGTACTCCTGAAAGCGGCCGCCATTAGCGCCACCTTACTCAGTTTTATCGGTTGAAACTGATTTACGCAATAGCTTGCATTCGTGTATAGAAAAAAAGCGTTAGAGCAGCGAAAAAAACTCTGCAAGAAAAACCGTTTCATACGGCTACAGTCATCTGTATCCGACAAGGTTTGCGTTCATCCGGCGTCAATCTGCTCGGTAGACGCAATTACACCTACTGTTTTCCCGCCTCGCATTAGTGAGCCTCAAAAAATATGATTTTGTCATGTATACTATTTTCGAAACCCTCCATTGTGCTAGCGCAATACACCCTATCCTATAAAATATAAGCAGCGGCATTTTAAGCGAGCGGTTCGTTTAGGCACCAAGCGAGTGGGAATAACTTCGAATCTTAGGTCAATCAACATGACAGTAGCACGGGTGCCGCTTCTTCATCTAGCTAGTTTAGTAGCGTGGGTCTATATTCATTCAATAATAAAAATTCAATTGATTTGATTTAAATGCACACATTGCATAGATTGAAATACACTTTTTGAAACAGCTAACTAAAGTGACTTTGTCTGCCAACTTTAGATTTCGATCAATCATGTCTCTAAACATAACTTATTGTTAATTAGGTTCATTTTAGCTTCAATTTGCGCCTATACACAGGAACGTGTGGTGTTTCCTATAGATCTAAACATTTCAATAGCGACCCCATATAGTAACTAGCTTCATTGCAGACGTTTTCCGGGTGAGAAGCTTGTGCCAGAAGCAGCATTAAGTCTTTTTTTATTTCGATACTCATGACCGTTCCAGATGTAACACTATTTTCTTTGTTTTTTTTTTTTAAACAACAGTAACAGCAAGACCTACGACGCATGTCAATGAGTGGAGAGTAGAACGAATTCTAAATGAAACCTTGAATGCGTCCGAGTGCGTCGTAATTACTGCGATGCAATAATAAATGCGGGAGGTCCGCCTATGAAGCTCATCAAGCCAAACATCATGGACTAGAAACGTCACTGTTGGCATTAAACAAGGGGACTCGTTCACGAATGCACACACATGTAAGGCAGGATGGCTTTCGCAAACGGTTTACGCAAAAGGATGGTACTCGCAGAACGAGTTAGCAAGCTGATCTCTGTCGATCAAATGTCATAACAAACTTTCACCATGTGCACTTATGCATTTATTGAGTTTTACAGAACCATGTAAACAAACCAAATATTGAAGTGTATAATCAAACGGGTACTAACGTTAAACAGAATTATACGTTTCTAACAATTTTCGGACAATTCCTGCTATGCTTTTTTTGGAAGCAAATATTTTACCAATTGCTACGCTTTCGGTCGCTTTCTCATGTACAGTATGAGTCGGCTGAAGTTCAGCGAGAATAAGCTTCACATAATGGAGTACTCATTCTGTATAATAAACAATAAAATAGAATAACAAACAATAAAATAGACGGATCCTCAGGCATTTGTAGACGTGCCAAGCGATTCGGCGCAATATTCTACCCATTGAACCTTAAGCGATGAATAGAATCGGTGCAAAAAAATGCCCCTGTGACCGTCTTGGACCGACCGAGCAAGGAAACAGTAAGATTCTTAACACTCAATTAAGGCGTAGTGTTAATAAGAATCGAAAGAAAGGAAATTATTAGAAATTTCTATGTGTTTATGTTACGCATAAATTTAAAAAAAAAAAAAAAAAAACTTAACGAAGGGCATGGTTCAGTTCACTGGTTTCAATCAGCAAGTTTAATTAACAGACTTTGCCACACTACTTCAGTACGTGGTTCGTGTGAGTGTGCGTATTCGTACGTGTGACCGTCCTTAAAGTTAACAACAGAAATGTGCATGATAGTAGTGTTGATGCACAGAGCTGCTTTGCAGATACCCTCCAGTGATCCAACTATTTTTACGTTGAGACAAAGTTTCGATGGCACACAGACTCGGATTGGAGTCATAGCAAACACTTTAAACACCTCCCAAGGATTCTTGTCGCAGTGTTTTTCAGGAAGTATTCCGCTCTGGCTGCTGACGCCATTAGCGATGTTCTTGCTGTTACGGCTTGCCAATGCAAAGAGGAACGAACGAGTTATCAAGCTTACCATGCAGCCTGTCTGCCCAGAGAAAATAATCTCTGGTGAGGTTCCAGGGAGGTAGTGGTAAGAGGGAAAGAGGTAGACTCAGAGGCGCCATCCAAGGCCAAATGCCAGCGGGCTGTAATCACTAGACAGAGATTTTCATCTAAACTCGTAACCTTTTCCACTGGATGCGGTATTCTGTCAGGCGCATATAGATGTTATGTTACTCGTACAAAGCTTGTGTGTTAAAAACAAACCCCCCGTAAAAATCGCTTGCGGATCGTAAACGCTAGGTTGTAGTGACAATGATTCAGAAGGTGGCATATGGTTGTTATAAGAGGTGCTAATATGGACGTTCAGTAGCTGGGCTAGCCACCTCAAAAGGCACGCTTTGGCCAACTATAGTAACTACAATTAGCGGAATAGGACTAGGTATTCAAGAGGGAATAATACATTAAAACACTGTACAGATATAAACAAGGTCAATCAGATAAACAAACACACTCATCTTAGTTTTCGCAGCTTGTAAATAATATGCACTGCGTCTACTGTTTGAAATAGGTTAAAGATGGCGTGTAAAGCTCGATGCATGTCACTGATATTGAAAATAAAAAATACAATTTACTTCATATAAGGCACCGATAAATATTTTTCTCGTGTTTCACAAATCGCATATATAGTAATATTGTTATAAACGCACAATTTCTCCGCACATATTCCTATTCTGTAGATGCTGTCTGCTAGCGCAAAGCTAAAATGCTTCTGGGTTTTTATTGCCTATTTGAATTCGAAGAAATAAATCCTAATTAACGTGACTACTCTGAGTACAATCGAGAAATCAATAAGACTTACTTTGAAAGCAACTTAAGAATCAGACTAAGTGCGTAGTGATCCCTAGATGAATGTTTCCAAAACATCAATTTGTCCTAAATCCACGCTATCTTCCGCTACATGTCAAGGTCTACTGATTACAAAAGCTTCGTTGAAATACCAATCTATTACGATCTCTTCACCCATAATAATTAGGTAACGTAAACTCTATAGGCTTTACCAGAATATTTAATCAATTTTTTCTATATAACGAGTCGGTCCTATGTCAGTTTACGTTGAAATAAAAACACAAAACCTGTTTAGTTAACATCTGGCTCATGCCCTATTGCACGTAGAACGAGTTACTCTATTACCAATAAGCAGTAGCCATCTACTTGTCTTTTTCATAAATCAATTTCTATTATACATCTATACGTTTATTCGCAACTAAGTTTACCTGGGAACTGATGATTATTTTCATGTCATAGCAGCTTTTAGCAATATTCCTACGAAGACAACTCCGTCCATCGCATTTCGGATCGTCTATGCAACGTTTGACCGTTTGCCTGACACATCGACAAACTAGTCGGGTCTGGGTTTTCCGATCTTTTCGTCCTGCACGAAGCTCATATCGTCACTTGCCGATCTGATTCAACCATCGCGGAGACCCGCCGCTGGTAGGCAGTCGGATCGCTCTAAAAATAATTAAAAAACTGCATCATCCCGTCCTTTTGTTGGCTCCTTGCGTCGGACGAACTCCGCTGCTTGTCAACTACTGCAACAATTACCAACGTCATTGGCTATTACTCCTAATCCAACCGAGTGTGCGTTGATGGCTTTCAACGCAACAGATTTTATTGTTCTTACTTTTAGATTTGCCTGTACGCATCGTAGGATTTGTAGTGTTTTCGATGATGAGAACAGTTACGTCAGGAAGTTAACATGAAGGACACACGTTACTATTATGACTAAGTTAATCCAATCCAGCCCATCATCTTTGTATGGGGGTTACGTATGCAGGGAAAAACAGATTTAGCTGACAACTTACAGTTCTATGCAAATGTCATTAGCTACGATGTTTAGACTATAGACTTTGATAGCTTATGACCATATTAAACCGGAAGGTTTAACTTTAAAATTAATTGTTAACTTCAAATGGACATAAAGAAACAATACTTTTATCCAGTGACGTAGTTTTGTTGCAGAAAGCACAAGTATTCTCTTAACGTGCCAGGAGAAAAACATGCCCAATTTAATTATATTAGTATCCAGCTACTTAAGGGATTCACTATAACAGACGTTGAATTCTTCTATACAGTTTTCGATGTTTCGCTGTTCCATTGTTCAGCAAGGACAACTTCATGGATTTCTTTTTTGGGATAAATAACTAGATATGTTATAAAATTTGTCGTCAGGTCATGGCTTTTTAAGATATGCGAACCAACCTTACTCGGATTTGAGAACGTTTCTGACCTTTGAAATAAATGATAACGCCTTTAAGGGCGGACAGTAAACGCTACGAATAAGTGAAACGTTTGACATACAGAACAGGAGAGAGTCCTGGCAATGTTCTCCTTATTTTACAGGAACATGGACCTTTTCTAACAAAGAGATATTCTCGAAGAAAAAAACTCTTAGAATAAATTCCAAGTGCCGTTCATCTTCGGCACTCGATTTCACCTTGAACCCGTTTACATTGAACGGTCGGCGTCCTATCACCAATAGCTACAACAATGTCAGCCATTGTCTCGAAACAAAACCAAATATTCTCGATCCATCTTAATCGTCTCTTATACACATACGTACTTATAAATTTTTCTCTTTTTTTCTTCTATTCCCATACAAATCCTTGGCCTGACAACAATTGGTATGATATTTATAACATGTGAGCACATTCATTGGGTAGCACGTTCTTTCTTTTCCTTTCAAATGTTTTTTACGTAACGAACAAATTGATTCGTAGTCGATTCTCACGTGCTAACTTAAACTGCTGATACAGATATGATCTGCCTAGGATCCGAATGGAAATCCCTAGTGTTTACACGTTATTTGTCAGCCTAGCATCCTAATCCGATCAATCACAGGGTGTCGCCGACGCGTTTTACAGTCACCGCCGATGCAGCGGATCACCGTCGAAAACAGCCTAAGCACTGATCGGTTATAAAGAACGAGCTATCGATGCGCCCATGTACATCCGTTGATAGTAAGTAAAAGGTAAACACTTGCGAATAGCGGCAAACTTACGCTAGAAAAGTGTTATTGCTCACGAACAACGGAATGAGCCGACAGCAACAGGCCGTATTTTACACCGGCAGGATTCCTATTGCTGCTGACAAACATCTGAAATGAGAAGATGCATTAATATTAATTTCGAATTTGTTAACAGCACGTCGATACGCTATTTATCACTCCAGATGGCTCCATATCTAGGGCAATACGTATAGAGTCAGCGTCTGCTAAACAGCTTGGGGTAGCTTCGGAACCTACCGTCAAGTGTTTATCATTTGTATGTGCACATATGGATACTTTGATATTGGTACCTAATTTTCAACTACTACTTCCGGCAGTGTCGTAAGTAAGCCACAGACCGCAAGATGTACAGCGTTTTGTACTTTGTTACGGGGAAGAGCTGTTTGATAGATTGAGAAAAGGAATCTAATAATACGAAAGATTAGAATAAAAGAAGTATATTATATTTTTTTAACTCGTGACTAGTTTAAAAACTTTCATATTGTCCACATATAAAGTGCCCGATAAAAGTAAAAATAAATGCAATTGAATGAAACAACCACTGTTTTAATGAATTTATCTGTTTGCTTTTCAGTGTCTGTGCCCTATGGCGAAGAAACGTCTCTCTACTTCGATATGGCTACTCGGAACTGTATCTCCGCCCATGATCAAGGTAGTATGCAACAGGAACAATATCAAACACGTTGCCTTTGCACTTAGAACAGTGTCTCCACCGCTATTTACTACGGTGCGATGAAGAACAATAGTTTTTAGATAACGCTTAATTTAATTTTTATTCTACAAAGTATCTTCATCTAAGGCAGGGATCGCCCTAACTAACTAACTATCCTGTATATCGAAGTCGACATAAATTAATGGGTATCGTCACTTTTTGCGGTTACATTCTCAGCAACATAAGCGTTTTCACTGTGAGAAGGAGCTCCATTGAAGGAGCTCCGTTAAAGCCACTCATGATTTTTATGATCCTGGGCGGAACCAACGTAGCATATAGGAAAAATCCTTGTTGTACAGAAGAGCCAGTTTGCAAAACTAGCCAGCAGCTATTGACATCATTATCCCACGTAATTCAGTCCTTTAGTTCATACTAACCTTGTGAAATATTTTTTTTAACAGTTGCGAAGACGCTTACTGTGAACGTCGACACGTTTTCTTTTCTTCGTATTTGAAGATCATCTTTTCTGTTCCTACATCTGAGTGAATCATACAACCCCGTATCCATCCCTCAAGTGTTCAACCTCATTTAGCTTCCCACCTTGGGCAGAGCACTTCACGCAGGCACGGAGATTTCTTAACGAACGATTTGAAAACACTGATGTTTTTCGAAATATGCAATAATTCGGTAGCATGATAGCCGTAGGTTCATTGAACCAATTAGAATACGAGGATTGATACTTGTTTTTTTTTTTACAACGCTACTCTTAGGGCCAGCGGATTGACTAAAGTCAATTTACTCGCTGCCAATTTTCGATTCGTTTCGAAATAGGTTGGTGTCCATATTTCCGACACGTTTATCGCTGCTGGCAGCGCCTGTCAATGCTTCTCACCGGCAATGACATCCGCTATGGACCGACAGAAACTGGTCTTTTTAAATTACGGTTAGCCCAAGCTAACAACAATTTCGGAACAGGGTCACCGTGTCCGTATGGCTTGACTTTCTTTTCCTTATTTGTTGGCACCGTGTTATTGGCTTATTTGAATTGAACTCACAGAACTTTTCCGGTCGAAACATGTTTCCGTTGATTATAACACGTAACACAGTACAAGATATGGTAAATAGCATAGTTGAGTCCGTACGCACATAGACAAAGCCTGTTTGTAGGTCCAGGACATCCTGAGCGAGAGAAACGTTGTGGTTGACGCGGGAAATTTTTAGTAAGGCGCGAAGAAATTGGTCACAAATCAGTGTCAGGGAGACCGTGGATCTTATTCGATAGTTTTAATCGTTCGGAACGAGCGACGCCATCGTAAGTGCGCATTTAAACAGCTTTAAACGCAGACATTTGCGGTCTATGCCGAGTCTTATAGAGCCACGCAGATGAAATCGGCTTTAGTCAATTGTGCTAATGTAGAATAGATCAATTGCTGTAGCACATTCAGGCGTCTTTCTCTCTGGAAAGGATGGACAGGACGTTGTCACGCTGACGTCACAACTTTGTTGATTAGCTCTGGTCCCCCAGGATCACGGACGGGTGACGTCGTCAGCGACCATCCTACAAAAAGGCACCGTGACAAGCGTCAAAGCAAGATGAGTAAAAGCAACGACGAAGAATACTGCCATCACTGGAAGAGATCTGTCACGTCCTCTCGTTGTGACAAGTGTGTGCGAAATCCGCATGCGCTTCGTGTCACGAGACCGGTATTACATAGCCTCCCCGGAGGTCCATTACGGTCTCTCTTGTACGATCGCTCTTTCCTAACTATATTATACGTAAAAGATAACGTTTTGCGGTCGCTTAACAGCCATCAACGACGGTGACAGCACGTGCGTCACTCGGGTAACAGAGGCCGGCCATAGCGAGTTATGCTTGCTGCTAGGCCACCGATGCGGAGATATCACAAGGAATTACGGACCCAGGAATGAACAGCTGTAGTAGCGTACGGGAATTTAGTGGGAAAATAATGAAATGATATGCTAAACAAATAGCGAATCGGCTGATACGACCTAAAGCACACGACGTTTGACCTGGTAGAGTGACACCGGTTTGCATTCACTGTTGATGCGTTCTTTAGCTCTCAGTTGAACGCTGCTAGCATGAGCAGAATGACTGCTTCGACGAAATCGATACAAACAAATGTATTGGCTATCAACACCATGTGTTTCTTCGTTGCGAATCCACGAATAGTCGCTGCTGCAATGAGTTTAGCTAACACTAAATGCTCAACCAACGAAGTTATTGAAGTTAGCAGAAGCCAAACGGTTAAAAGAGTGACTGGGATAAGGATAAGATGATAGATTTCTCCACATTAAGCTGTCACTTAAAATTAAAAGGAACTGCAGAACAGGCTACCTTGCGTACGATAAATGCGCCCTTGACTACTTATTTCGATCATACTGCATATGCAGACGCCAGACTGTACGTAGGAAGTGACCATCCCAAAAATCCAATGATAATGATAATTGTACTGAAATATTTCAATTTCTTCTGAAGGTGACAGCTTTTTAGTACTCACAGTCACTTGCCGTCAGGGAAAAGGAGTGTGAGAATGACTAGTGGGGCACACAGACGTATCTGGACTACTCTGACCGCCCTATGCAATAGCACGACAATAGAATGGCAAGAGTCAATCAGATGTAACCTTGGTGCGTTGAACCGTGCAGAAATAAATCGAAGAAAATGTTTTTTCCATTTTGTCCAACAGGGGCATACTTTCTTATCATGTCCACATGTAATACAATGGTCAATGCTTTCAGCCGTGTTTTAGCAACTGATAGAGCCATGGCGACGTAGTCTTATGAGATTCATGCGCCCATATTGCCCCTATTGAGACAAATGCGGCGTCAATCATCACCATTAAGGTCTTAAGACATTCACTGAGTTGTCAAAAGTAACTGGTAATTTCAGAGTAGCGCTTATCTTTGATTTGGACCACGATGGGTAATTAAAACTATAGGTAGAAAAATTTCAAAATGGGTTAGGGTGGGATAATATGCCTGCTTTCATAATGAGGTGTCATCATTTTAGTCCTGTATTCGTATTGAAGCAGTAACATTACATGATGATCTTTTTCTGATAAGCTTTGAATCCCTTGTCGGTTTTGATCATATATATGAGACCGTGATTTTTATTCCTTACCATTATAGGGAAACAAGCACAGTTGCCTTTTGGGTTCGGTAGAGATATTTTCATTGTCTAGTATTATCTCGCGGAAAATTCATAGACTAATGCCGAAATATCGTTATGGAGGAAATGGTTCTATGTCCAGCGGCTACGTCTCCTAATGATTTATGCCGCCAACAAAAAAAGGACCTCTCTTGAAAGGCAGAATTCCACAGTCGATCAATTCACATCATCGCGAGTCGAGTAAAGACGCAAGCGTAAACCAAGCTTAACTAGAAGAAAACAAAGCTATTTTAGTAAAAAAAAAAAAAATAAAATAAATAAATAGCTTTCTACGTTTAAAAAAAGAACATCAACGATGAGAAACCATGTCTTAAGAAACGAATGCAATACCTACCCAAAAAGAGCAACTTCTACAATATTTGTATTTATTGACTTTTTAAGGCAGTGGCTCCCCGAAAAGCACCGCTTATTATCTTATGTACAGATACATTCTATATACATTGGCGCCGAGCGCCCAAGGTGGAGTCCTGCGTTCCCATCGTGTCCACTACCAGCATCTGCAGAAGCATCGCGACCAGCAGTAGAATTACTACCGTGCGTTGTTGCGGTTCGTTCTTTACGTCCGTATAGCACGTTGACGCCCGTACATAGGCCACCGAACATACATTCATATGTTTTGGGATGACATGAACGCTTTGCCTGTGATACAGACAGATGTTCTCTTCGTCATTGACGGCCCACTGTATTTGGCGGAGACGATGGGCAGAGCCGCGATACGTGAGGTACAAAAGAAGTGTGTCACTTATGATGTGTCAGCGTGCGGGGTCGTGGTCAGCATAGATAGACGCCTGCTTGTGCTGTATGTATAGAACTGTACAAGCATCTGCGCTGGACTACGCAGGGCGAACTGGGCAGCCGAAGTAGCTACACCGACTCCCCATTCAGCGCGTCATACAGATTGAGCGAGAGGGGAAATTTTTTTCTCGTATTCGTATATTTATCGTACATAATGCACCCGTAGTAAAAACCTGTTGTCGTTAATGACATTGCTGTTAGTTTTGCTATAGTGATTATTTTTTCGCAGAAATACATTTTAAAATCATAACAAAACTATAGAAAAAAGACAAAATTTATGGTGGCTGACGATGATGTTCGACCATGAGACAAATGATTGTCCGGCGAGCAGTTGCTAATACGTGCGTCAGCAGGTTTACGAATTAAGCATTTTTTTTTTTACCCATCCTATTGAAATCAACGTGGCGAAAGCCTCGTGTGTGTATAGTTAGCAAAGTTCCTTTGCTTTCGGCTGTTTCTGTAACACTTGACATAACAGATCCATTTTTGCAATTCTGAAACTGAAAGACCAATAGATGACCAATCCCAGTATCTGGTTCTCACGTGTCATAGTGCACGTGAGAGCGTGCGATAACAGTTGTACAATAGCATCTTACACCTATCTACGCTTAATGATCTATTCAAGTCCACTTTCGACATGAAACGACATCTCGCAGAAGATCCTGCGCTTGTGTGTTTTCTTGTCTGTCAAAGGAAAAGGTCCATCAAATATTTTCTCCCAACGATTATACCGATCGGGCCCATGGAAAACTTATTGAAAGATCGACGACACTATAGACATCGCCGTGACGAAAAAGACTTAGAACATTATTATAAAAAAGAATGGTTGAAATTTGACCATTACGACGCTTCTGTCGAGATCCATAAATCGGATCGCCGGATGCGTTTTACTGAACGCACACTGTTAGATTTCGAGACTCGGAGACCACTACGGCGGACTCAATCGGTACTGGCGATGAATGTGAGAGGACGGTCGATGAAGTTTACCTAAATCAAAGAACAAACATAAATTCGAAATAATCGGAATCATTGTCTCACATTTAACAGCGTTAACACACGGACAATCCAGTCACCTGCAGTAGTCACAGGTTCTAGTTGGTGTCCATTACTAGTCCAGGTCGTTGTATCGAACGGTGTCCTATAGCGATTCACGAATCAAAATCAATGACGTCAGCAGACGTTTCATTACAATTCAAAGCACGCTCAACATATCACAGCTTTATAACTAACGTAACTCCCAAGCAACGAAGAGAGCATTGCACTTACACTGGGGCAAACAGTAAACGCAATGAAATAAAGACAAAATCACAGTTATACTGACACAGTGAATGATTCTTTATCGGCAAATAAGGTAAGCACTAAAGAAACTGTCATCTTCAAGCTATGTCCTATTTCAAGCACAAGCAAACTTCAACAACTTGTCGCAATTAACTAGCTATACTATAAAATGGGCAGTTACAAATACGTGTAATTTGCGAAAACACGGCATTAATACAAACAAAAAAAAAAAAAAAAGAAGAAAGAAATATGATTTCTATAACATTTTCGGTTCGGCTGGATGCTAAGTTTATCTATGTTCCGATTGAAGGCACACGTTGATTGCCGGTGTTCTAGTTAGAGGTTTTTTGCGGTGAGATCTCTCGCTTCTTCTCGTCTATGTCTACGAAAGTTTTGGTGTCTCGCAGGGACGTACGACGTGTCCATTAGCGTTGCACCTCAAATCTACAATCGAACATGACTGTATGGGGTAGCGCTATCAATTTCCTCATCGGTGTAAAGCTAGCAATGGCAAAAGCTAAAATGGACATTGTGCGTATGCCAGAGGAATAGCGCTATCATCCAGGCTCAACACCCTTCAATGAATGACCGCTCTATCATCAACTAGATAGGTTCTTCTTGCAATAGCTAAATACTAATCAGTATACTGACACACAGAAGGTATCTTTTAGTACTCCACATTCAGTCACATAGAAATCTTGCACATTTTCGTATTTATACGGAATAATAAGGTGTAAAACAATTTCCTCGATCCTTATGCGGTATTTTCTATATAGTTCGTATTGGAGATGGCTGCTATACCATCGTAGAGAGCCATATGCTGGATAACGTGCAACGCAAAAAAGAAACTATTACAAATGCTAGATGGTGAGGGAAGTATCTCTGTTCTAAAAGAAAATTTAACTGCAAAAATGCATCGAAACCTAGGTATACTATACCATGGCCATACGACTGCCACTTCTATCGTATCCATGTTGAACGCCTGTAGAGGCCGCTGTCTTGGGAGATACAATGATAATAAACGTCATGCAGTGCTACATTTATTTGGATAGGCTAGAATATGTTAGCGTCTTGTGCCTGATCTCGAACGAGCTTCAACCAGCCTTTCAGCCCTATTACTCGATCCTCTTCCCTCATTTGTTTTTTGTATTCTGGGCGCGCCTCGGAAATCATTTACCGCCAACCTGCAGTCGCCGAGGCGTCCCAAGGTCGAACCTTCTTTCAACAGATGCCCTCTAGTTGGGTCTGACCGTGAAGAAAAGTCCACGACTAGACTATTATACATAGATGGAACAGATCCAAAAGTGGGATCTGCTCTCTGATATTATTATTATGTAAA